TTGATGCTCCGGATCCAGAGGATCAAGACTTTGACCAGCTCCTGGATAACCTGCTACAGCTTCCTGGCCGAGAACAGCTGATGCGTTTGTRTGTGGATCRAATCRCCAACGTCAAGTCTATTTGGTAAGTGTTTCTTGACCGTTAARAGTTATTTGCCTTCATTSAATAWATGTTTTTYTWTAATTTGATRAAARTTATGTTTGTATAAGGTTCAATCGGGATACTAATTTGATCAATATATGTTTGTATAAGGTTCAATCGGGATATTGATGGTGAATTGGGCCGTGTGATCCCTGGAATTCTGCATGATAAGTTTGATGAACCTTACTACAGCTGGAAGGTTACTCCTAGACACGTCTAAGAACGGATTTTCAGAACCTTTGCGGTAAAGTTTTTAGTTTTGTTATCTTCTATTTAAGTTGTTACTTTCTTTGACATATCACCACTAACACATTTTCATGTCTTCTGTAGCGGCTGTACCACTGAGATGTTGGACTAACTCCAACTATTAGGAAGCATTTCTTGATCATTGCAAAGAAGAGACTAGAGGCATTGTTAGTCAGGCTAGGCACGGCCCGAAAAGGCCATATTGGATTGGACCAAAGCTTTGGAAAAGGATGAACCGGTATTGGAAGACTCCTGAGGCCAAGGACAAGAGTGCTACTACTTCACAGTACCGCAAGTCAGATCGTGGAGGGCTAGGCATCGCCAAGCACATATCTGGTCAGAAGTCCTACCTGAGAGTGCAACAAGAAATGGTAAGACCTTTATACTTCCTCTCTGCTCTTAATCTTCATACGTACACTAACACTGTGTTTTACTACTATAGGAGGAGGAGTTAGGTCGTTCTGTATCGTGGGGAGAAGTGTTTCAAATGACTCACACAAAGCCAAATGGAACATTTGTTGATTTCAAAGCTCAATAAGTTCATGAGGCTTATGAGAAGCAATTGAATCAAGTTATGTCTGAGGAAGATCTTCAAGGGCCTGACACTTCAGGGAATTCTTCTCAACGCTCTACTCAGCGGACACTAACCATCGAAGAAAAGAATGAGATATTCCGCAAGGTATTCTCCTTTCTCTTGTGGTCTCTGCTGGTTTTGCWGTTTCAGTTTGATTYRTCWTGTCTTTGATTTTAGTTTGATTCCTCKMGTKTTTGGTTTGAGTTTGAGCGTTTGATTCCTCATGTCTTTGGTTAACTGGTTTTAGAGTTTGAGTTTCATTCCTCCTGTCTTTGGTTTTGAATCATTGTAGAGTGGTTTACTGGTTTTAAAGTTTGAGTTTGATTCTTCTAGTCTTTGGTTTTGAATCATTGTAGAATTGTTGATTATTTTACTGGTTTTAGAGTGTGATTCCTTTTCTCTTTGGATTTGAATAATTGTACAAACACTGCTTCTTCTGGTTTTAGAGTTTGACTTGGTTAATTGCTGCTTCTGGTTTTAGCTTAACTGCTTGCTTAACTGCTCCTTCTGGTTTAAGTTTGATTGCTTTACTGATTGCTTAACTGCTGCTTCTGGTTTTAGAGTTTGACTTGGTTAATTGCTGGTTCTGATTTTAGTTTGATTGCTTAACTACTTCCTTATAGATATTGTGTTTTGGTTTCATTTTCAGTGTACACAGACTTATTCAAAAGGAGTCGTCTTTGGACTTGGGGAACTACCTCTGATGGTTCAAAGCGGAAAGGGGAAGGAGAGCTTTGCAAGCTCCACTGTGCCGGAACTCTCACAGATCCAAGACCAACTTCAGGAAGCGCAGCGTAAGATTGATGCTCAAGAGGCATAAAATGCTCGACGTGATGAGAAGCACCGCATAGCTCAAGAAAAGATCTCTGAAATGTCAAAACTTCTAAGGTACTTGAAGAACTCCGATCCCCTCTTCGCATAATACATGGCTAAACAAGATGACCAGGAGAACAGTCCCAATGAGGCACAAGGAACCGCAGGAGAAGAAGACCCAGGCAGCACACCACTCGACCCACAARCSACTYCTTAATTCCAATCTCTTTCTCTTTGAACATTGAACTTTTAGTATCTTTTGTTTTAGTAATTTTTTGAACATACAATTATTTTTTGATGTATGATATTTCTATGCTCTTYTATAATATATTAATCTATGGCTTTTAGTGTTTTAATTTTGTTCAAAACAATTGTCTACATTGTGACCAAAAATGTGACCATATATATGACAAAAACTGTGACCAAAACTGTTATATTGTAACTCCGTCACAAATTAGTGATACAAGAGTCACAACTTTGTGACGGAATTGCGTCATTATACTTAACAATATCAAAATATTATCGGATTTCAGTTGCACGTTCGTCACCCTTTTTCGACTAATTTGCCACCTCCAGAGTAGTCACTATTCTATGACCACCTAATATTGTCGCAAATAGGTCACACTTATGACGAATTTAAGACTACCAATTACAAGTATACCAACACCTCAAACAGTCGCATATCGGTCACTTGTATGACGAACGTTAGTGTCATAACTTGGTCGTTTATTTATGACTACTACACTTGGTCGCATATAAGTCGCTATATTACYACYCTTTATATTCYTGTRTYTTTCGTKACATATATAMGARGAAATKTAATGGTCACAGATTGGTCGCAGATAA